CAGCATGCCTGTGCTCAGTGGCCAAACTCCACGCTCCCTCACACACCCCTTGCCATTCTATACCTGACTTGCCTTGGCAGGTGTGGGACCCAGGCTGGTAGCGTGAGTCCAACGCAGCCAGCCAGGCCAAGTGGGTGAAATGAACCCAGTTGGCTGGGCAAAACTTGGGCAAAGGTGCCACCGGCCACAGAGGTTTCTGGCTAGAAAACGACACCCCAAAGATCCTGTAACCATGATTATTATTTTTCTGGCAGTTTTTTTCTTGTTTTGTTTGGGGAAAAAGCAGAGCTTGCTTGTTTAGGGGTCAAAACTATAATGCCCGAGCCAAATACTGTTATTTTGAAATAATGTAAATCAAATAGGTAGCAATTTCCCCAATGGGGCCCAGAGCCTATTGAACTTAACTTTTAAGGAGAAACCATTTGATGAGGTTTTTTAAAAAATGGCACTTATTTCTAATTTCCTAGTAAGCAGATTGGGTTTATTTTAGAAGACTGTTAAAATTTACAGTCCTGTCATTTAAAGGGTTTTGAATAAGCGTTACATGAAATGTACTTTTTTACTCAGTAGAAAAAGCCAAGTGTTCTGACATTTGATTCAGTACAGAAAGTACTTTTTAATACTTATAACCTTTAAGACTTCAGGAGTTCTTGAACAAAAAATTCAATTTTATTTATTCTGTCTGCTATTAAATGTACTTTTTGATCAATGTTCATAGTTTTAACTTTTGGATAAAGTGATCTTTTGTGAAAAGAGAACTTTTTTTTTTTGAGATGGAGTCTCGCTCTGTTGCCATACTGGAGTGCAGTGGTGCGATCTTGGCTCACTGCAACCTCTACCTCCTGGGTACAAGCAAGTCTCCTGCCTCAGTCTCCTGAGTAGCTAGGACTACAAGCGCATGGCACCATGCCAGCTAATTTTTGTATTTTTAGTAGAGACAGGGTTTCACCGTGTTGGCTAGAATGGTCTCAATCTCTTGACCTTGTGATCTGCCCGCCTCAGCCTTCCAAAGTGCTGGGATTACAGGTGTGAACCACCGCGCCCAGCTGAGCATTATTTTAATACAACAGCTTTTAAGATTTTTTTGCACATAATACTTCTACATTTATTTCTTTGAATGCTGAAATATCACTTTTAGAGTTATTCGAAGCAGTTTAGAGAGAGATATTACATATGACTCTGTTCATTAGTTATAGTTAAAAGTTTGCCTATAACATGGAACCATTTTTTCCAAGTTCTTTAGTTAAAAAAGAATGCTTTAAAAAATGTTATTAGGCTGGGAGCGGTAGCCCATGGCTATAATCCCAGCACTTTGGGAGGCTGAACTGGGTGGATCACTTGAGGTCAGGAGTTCAAGACCAGCCTGGCCAACATGGTGAAACCCTGTCTCTACTAAAAATACAAAAACTAGTTGGGTGTGGTTGTGCACACCTGTAATTCCAGTTACTGGGAGGCTGAGACAAGGGAATCACTTGAACTGGGAAGGCGGAGGTTGCCGTGAGCCCAGATGACGCCATTGCACTCCAGCATGGGTGACAGAGTGAGACTCCATCTCAAAAACAAAGAAACAAAAATGTTGGATTTTTTTTTGAAGCATTAGACAAATGAGTAGTTAATTCAGAAAGGAGGTTATTTATTAGTTGCATATATATGCGTGTGTAATAACATTTTCAAAATACAATATTTTCTTTGATTTCATCACATCCTGGAAGTAGCACAGCTAGTACTTTTCCTATTTTGGATGTATGGACATTGAAATTTAGAGGGCAAAATGAATTTCTTAATGTCATACAGCCTTGTTAAGTAAGAATTTAGATTTAAACAATGCTAAGTTAGATTTAGAGTCAAAGTTTAGAATTAACGAGACTTCTTGCAAAACAATGCATTCTGTATCTATCTGTATGTTCCAGGCGCTATGGTCAGCATTGGAGATGCACAGATAAGACACGAATCTTATCCTCAGAGACTTGAAGGTAGTGGCAGAGACTACTCACTGAGGGAAGTAGTGCGGTGGTGCCCCACTGAAGGGTCATGTAATTCAGATAGTTTTGAAGGAATGGCTAGGAGAAGTTAGCCAGCAGAGTGGGTGCGAAGAGAGATGGTCAGGTAGAAAGAACAGTGAGGGAGGTCTTATGTCTTTTGGGAAGTTCTAGTATTTCCATTGTCAGTTCTATTGTGTGCTACCTGTGGCAACAATGCAGACTGTGCAGCCAGAGGTAAACACTTGTGCCCTACGCTGAGAAGTTTGTAAAAAGGTGCCAAAGTGGAATTTAAGTATATATAGAAGGTCTTGGATTGATCATAGAGTTGGAGTTCTTGGGTCTATTTATTGTGGAATTGTAGACAGGTGACTCTTTCTGAGCCCCCATCACCTCATCTGTAAAATACAAATGACATTCAATTTATAGGCAGTTAGAAGGACTAAGAAAAAGAAGTGGGCTGGGTGTGGTGGCTCACACCTGTATTCCCAGCCCTTTTTGAGGCTGAGGCAGAAGGGTTGCTTGAGCCCAGGAATTTAAGACCAGCCTGGGCAATATGGCAGGACCCCATCTCTACCAAAAACAAAAACAAAAAAACAAATTAGCCAGGCCTAGTGCTGCATACCTGTAGTCCCAGCTACTTAGGAGGCGGCTGAGGTAGGAGGATCAGTTGAGCCTGAGAGGCTGAGGCTGCCATGAGCTGTAATCATGGTACTGCACTCCAGCCTAGATGACGGCAAGACCTGTCTCAAAAATGTACCAAAAAAAAAAAAAAAAATTTAAGAAATGTAAATAAAAGCGCTTAGCATGCACCAAACCTGTAACTACTCAGTAACAGAAGGTGAATTAGAAGTAAAGACAATTCTTTACGCATATATAAGATTCTAAGTAGAACTGAAATATGAATCTAATTTGAAAACAGTATCAAAATATCTAAACATTTCTGAAACAGCTTAGTTGAAGTGGTCTTATAATTTCATGTTTAAAAATTTAAAATTTAGGAATCCTTCTGTGTGGCATTTCTTAATATCCATTTTTGAAAGCAAGACTTTATGTGTAAGATGTGGTTGATAGGCTGTGGGGCTGCCACAAGTTCTTGTGTAGAATCAGTTTTGTTTGCATTGTGTTTTGTACCACACTCATCCCCCAACACTGACCCAGAAATGAATTCTTAGTTGGAAGACCTGGATGTGTCATTTGCTAACAGTCTAATCTTAGACAAATTACTGGCTATTTAGGTCTTTCTTTAGTGTTAAAATGGGACCTAACTAATTTAGCTTTAGGTATAGAATAGAATGAAATCGTGCATGGGTGCACTTTTGTAAAACACAGTGTCTTCGGTTGGGCTGCCACAACAAAATACAGTTGACCCTTGAGCAACACGGGTTTGAACTGCGTAGGTCCACTTATCCACGGATTTTCTCCCATCCCTGACACAGCAAGACCAACCCTCTTCCCACCGTGGAGATGAGGATGAAAATCTTTATGACGATATACTTCCACTTAATGAATAGTAAATATATTTTTTCTTCTTGATGATCCTAATATTTTCTTTGCTCCAGCTTACTTTATTGTAAGAATACAGTATAAATGATACATGTAATATGTAGAATATGTGTTAATTGACTGTTAACGTTATCAGTGAGACTTCTGGTCAACAGTAGGCTATTGGTTGTTAAATTTGGGGGGAAGTGAAAATTTATACACAGATTTTTTGACTGTGTTTTGGGTGTTGACTCCCCTAACCCTCTGGTTTTTCAAGGGTCAACTGTAATATAGACTGCTTGGCTTAAACAAAGAAATTTGTTTATCACGGTTCTGGAGGTTATGAAGTCCAAGACAAAGGTACTTCCTATTCGGTTCCGGGTGAGGGCCCTTTTCTGGGTTTGTAAATGGCTGCCTTCTCACTGCAGTCCTCACGTGGCCTTTTTTTCTGAGCCATGTGGGAGGAACAAGAGCCTGAGCATTCTGATGTTTCTTCCTTTAAGGACACTAATCCTATAGCATCAGGGCTCTACCCTATGACTTCGTGTAGCCTTAATTACTTCCTTATTCCTAATATGATGTTACTAGGGGTTTAGGGCTTCAACATATGAATTTTGGAGGAACACAGTCTATATTCAGTCTATAACATATAAAAAAGTTGGAAGTATTCTCTTTTGATGGTTTTGATTTGGTATTTTGTAAAAGTGAGTTAATAGAGGCATGTATTTTACTATTCTACAGAGCTGTAGGTGTACATGGGTCATTTGCGTCAATGCTTTCTAACCTATATTTATAATTGATTAGCTACAGAAGTGGTTTACAACCAAGTTAGTATAGAAATTGGAATATGACTGTGCCTAAGGTAATTATAAATTTCATTAGCCATTCTAATAGTACATTAAGCCTATACCACTTACTTGAATATCTTCTCAACTGATTCCAGGTTCAAATATAGTTTGGTTTCTATATGGAATAACTATGTAATTCAGTAATAGTTCTTAAAAATCATGTTATTTATCTTTGAATACACCTTTTTCTTTGAGACAAAGTCTCACTCTTTTGCCCAGCCTGTAGTGCAGTGGTGTGATCTCGGCTCACAGAACCCTCTGCCTCCAGGTTCAAGTGATTCTCTTGTCTGAGCCTCCCAAGCGGCTGGGATTACAAGTGCCCATCACCACACCTGGCTAACTTTTATATTTTTAGTAGAGATGGAGTTTCACCATGTTGGCCATGCTGGTCTTGATCTGCTGACCTCATCAGATGTGAGCCACTGTGCCCAGCCTGAGTGCACCTTTTTATTCAGTAAGAGAGCAAACCTTTTAATTAACGTGTTAAGGTTACAGAGCTTTTGAAGATGGCTAAACCTCAGTTTTACATAGCAGATTTTGGAACAAAGGGAGAAGTCTTTTTTGTTGTTGCTGTTGTTGTTGTGAATCACAGTATGAGTTTTGAATTCCTTCTGTTTGTATTTCAGATTGTGGTGGAAGGTCTTTCCCTGGTTTCCCAGAATGATCACACTTCTGTTTTTTCTCACAGGCCAGCCCTCCAGATCTCTATATTGAAAGATTTAATATAGCTCTTGGACAATATATGGGAGCATTGCAGAGCATTGTGCCTCTTTTCATATATATGGTAAGTTAGAGCCCCTTCCTCCCCAAATACCTAGGTGTATTGGTCAGAGCACAAATAGATGCAAAGTTAAGCGTGTTGTTTTACTTTTACTACGTTTGTGTTAGAAATGGAAATTAAATTATTTCAGTCATGTTTGATAGTTGTTGACATAGAAGAATTTTAGTTATTTCTCCTTTTTCTCCTTTGAAATTCCATAAGTAACAATTGCTGAATAGACAAGTAGGCATTAAGATGAGTAGTCACCCACAGGAGTATTTTATTTCTGCTATGTGGAAGCCACTGCGTTTCATTCTAGAAAAATAAAGATATATAAGATTTCTTGTCCTCAGAAAGTAAAATGCTAATAAGCAAGTCATTCCATAAAAAAGTAGAACAGTAAAACATTGCTGCCATTCTGATGATTTGGAGAGCTATGCTATCAGTATAATCTGTAGATTGTGACTTTGTAGATCAGCTTCCTCCCTGTTTTAAATATATAGAGCCATAGAGTCTTAATGTTAGTGCTCCTGTTGAATGGAGGAGCCCTTAGGAACCATGATCCCAAGTTCCTCTTTATTAGACTAGTGAATGGGATGTTCAGGTTGATCCTACTTTCTGTGGCATGTAGGTTGCTGTATGTGGATAGCAATCTTAAAAAGGACTTATTCTTCATAAAATGCACTTAACAAAAACAAAACACAACTACCCCTAATTCTCATTTAGAAGGAACTTTCCAAAAGAGTACTTCATTGTTTTCATTTACACTTATTTCTTGGTTACTGACAACAATTTTAAAAGTTAATATGAGTTTTGTAGTCAATATAATTCCAGAAAAACTAGATTTTACTGAGAAAGAAATGTATAAAAAGGCTTTTCTTTGGTTTAAGTGCCAGAACTCCTTTATGAATCATGAAACTAAGGAAAAATATTATTGATGGCACTAGGAGTAAGTGTGTCTAGGTTAGTGGAATTAACTTTTTGAGAAGAATCCTTAAGCCTGGGAGGTAGCTACATCGTATCGTTTTGGTGAAATCCTATCATGGGCTACTCATCAGGAGTGTATGTTAGGTAGTAACTCTTGTTCTGATAGAGCAAACATTTTATTTCCATGCCTGCAGACTCCTTATTCTTGCTGTTTTAAAGTTTTCAGTGGAGACCAGATATGCAAATGGAGCTGAAGGACAGGGCTTACTTGTGGATAAAGGAGTTAAGGGTGGGTGAATAGGTTTCCTGATTTTCATGTCTGCTATTTTAATGGCATTTACCAGTTAAGCATATTGGCTAGGTGCATTCGTAAGAAAAACAAAAGTCTAATTTGTCATAGAGTCAAAAGGTAAATGACAAATTTATTTAAAAATATAGATTAAGTCAGGAAAGTGATTTATGCTTTTCTGCATTGCCATTGTTGCTTTCTAAAACTTTATGGTAGGATCTTGGGGTTTAAGAAGCCTGTGTCAATTAAGAATAAATGAACCTCTGCCGGGCGCGGTGGCTCAAGCCTGTAATCCCAGCACTTTGGGAGGCCGAGGCGGGTGGATCACAAGGTCAAGAGATCAAGACCATCCTGGTCAACATGGTGAAACCCCGTCTCTACTAAAAATACAAAAACATTAGCTGGGCATGGTGGTGCGTGCCTGTAATCCCAGCTACTCAGGAGGCTGAGGCAGGAGAATTGCCTGAACCCAGGAGGCGGAGGTTGCGGTGAGCCGAGATCGCGCCATTGCACTCCAGCCTGGGTAACAAGAGTGAAACTCCGTCTCAAAAAAAATAAATAAATAAATAAATAAATGAACCTCAAATTTACTTTTTCAGCTAGCAGAATTCAAATAAAGGATCTTAGATTGCAAAGTTTAACTATAGCTTTTCTTATAGATTAAGAGCTTGAATTTGCTTTGTAGTTACTTGTGAAAATTTGTTTTTATTGTCCGGAAGATAGAAATTCTTTGAACTTTGGTACTGCTTTGTTGGAAAAGTATATTATTTAAAGAAAATAGTTTGAAGTATTAACCTACTAGTGCCATAATAAGCCAAGTTTCCTTTGACAACACAGAAACAAATTTTTAAAAACATTTCTTATCAAAATTAGTGTCTTGTTAGAAGTCTATGTGAATATCAAGAAATTGTCATTACACTGGAAAATAAATTGTATCTAAGGTCTTGTTGAAATAAAGACATATTTTTGTTTACAAGTTTGGAATTTAATATTATTGTACCTGAGACAAAGTTGAAAAGATGTAGAATAATTTGAGTTTCTAAGTACTTCTGAAGTTTTCATACTGTTTCTTTTTAATGTTTCTAGTTGCTTATATAGAAAGGGTATATTAAAATGTTGTGCATTCAGATCTTAAATGTCAATAGGATAATATACCAGGAGAGAAAAGCACTATAAATGCAGAAAATTTTTTGGGGGAGTTAAATAGTTATATTATTTTTTGTTCTTGAATATAAACTACAGAGTCTCAAAGAGATGGCTAATTTATTTTAAAGACTTTAAAGTATACTGCCAGACCAACTTTTGCTTTAAATTTTGATTTAAAAATTTGAATTGTGAAAATAGCTTGAAATTTTTATTAAATTTTCATTAGATATTTATTTCCAAAGGGGAAAATATTTAGAAATGAAATGCACAAGACAGCTAACTGAATCTCTTCTGATAAAATTTATATAGGAAAAAAATAAGAAGAATGAACTTCAAACTTACTCTGAATTTCAGCTAGCAGAAATCACGTATGAGGCCTTTCTGAGGCAGAATTTTTCTTCTTGGTCACTTTTCAAGCCAGGGACCCCTGGCCAGCAATGCCCCACCTGGGCCTTGCTCAGCTACACTGGTGTATCTCAGCTAACCTGTGTTATAGTTTGTAGCCATGATCTTGCACTGTGCCCAAGAAGAATGAGAATGTGCTGAACCTTGGAGGGTGAGGAAGGTAGGGAAGAATTTTATTGAGCAGTGAAACAGCTTTCAGTGGAGAGAGGTTGCAGGAGTGGTGTGGCTGGGTAGGTCTGGGCCTTTTACGGCCTCAGAATGTGGAGTGCATGCTGATTGGTTTGTGAATATGTAAGAAAGGTTAAAGTGAAGACACCACTCAAAGGTGGGCTCAACAGTTTAGAAAACCCATTAGGAAAGGGTAAGTATATGTAAAATAGGTGAAGGGTGGGGATCAGTTAGAGAGTAGTGTGCCAAACAGGAAGACAAGTTCTCAGTCCCATCCAAGGATTTAACTTTTAGCTTGGCTTTCAGGCTTTAAACTGTCTTTGGCTTGGAGGCTGGGTTTCACCGGACACCCACCCCTAGGGTTTTGGCTGCCTCCTGTTGCTATCACTACCTGATATTAAAATGAATGAGAAGGCTCCGATAATTAATAATGTTTGTCATTGGTGTCAGGGATAGACAGATCAAAGTAACAGAGCCCAGAAATAAGCTGAAGTAAATGTAGAAGTTTAATAAGAAAGGTGACATTTCAGATCAATAAGGAAGGAGTAGATTATTCCACACCTAGTGTTAGGACAACTGGTAGTTATTTGGGAGTGGAGTGCGGGGGAGTCCAATTACTGCCTTCTCCTCTAAAAAAGTGTGTGTGTGTGTGTGTGTGTGTGTGTGTGTGTGTGTTGTGTGTGTGTGTTGATGGGATCTCACTATGTTATCCAGGCTGGTCTCTAACATCCATCCACCTTAGCCTCCCAAAGTGCTAGAATTGTAGGCATAAGCCTAAATAGGCATGAGCACCTAGGCACTACCTTATTCTTTGTAAAATATTTTAAATGGAATAAGTTTTAAAAATGAAATGTTAGCTAACTATTATAGGAGAAATCATGCATAGTCTCAGAGTGAAAAAAGGCCTTTCTCAATGAGACCCAAATCTAGAAGTTATGAAAGAAAATATTAGACTATGACAATACAAAATTTTAGAAACCTTTGTGTAGCAAAATATCATAAGCCAAAAGTAAGTGGGAAAAAAGACAGAAGTTTGCTTTCCTTGATAATCAGCTTTCATGAATTGGAAAAAGATAAAGAACCTTATTTTTCTGTTGAAAAATGGACAAAGCATATCAACAGACAGGAAAAAATTATGAACATGAAAATATACCCAATATCATAATTTAAGAAATAAAAATAAAATATTTTAGTGAAACTGGAAAGGTTTAATCAATATTCAGTTTTGGTGAATCTGTAGAGAAACAAGCTCCTCACTCTTTTGGTAGAAATGTAAATTGTAAAGCCTCTTTGGCATTATTGTTAAGAGTTTAAAATGCAAAAATCTGACTCAAGAATTGTACGTCTAGGATTTTATTATACAAATAAACTCATAAATACATACATTTATATATATGAATTATGCAGGTTTAAAAATAGCAGAACATTGAGGAACGTTTGTATTCTGATCAGTAGGGGACTATTTAAAAAATTTATGGAAGACAGAAAAATATGCAATTAAAAGTAACACAACTCGGCTTTTTTAGAGAAGAATTTTCCAGGATACATTATTAGATGAAAAAGCAAGGTAATGCAGTGTTTAATATTTTCTCACTAGTTTTAGGAGGAAAAAAGCACATCCATGTATATGCAAGGAACATCTTAGAACATACCGAAGTTTTCCCAGTATAGAATGGGACCTTTTGGGAATGGGCTAGAGGGTCTGTATTAAGAAACTTTTTATTGCATACTCTTTTGCATGCTTTCTGTTTTTTAACCATGTGCATCTTATTTTTGTATATTTTTTAAAGAGACAGAAAAAAGCTTGTGTTAAGAATTAAGTGGCTGGGCGTAGTGGCTCATATCTGTGATCCCAGCTACTCAGGAAGGTGAAGTGGGAGGCCAGGCGTTTGAGACCTGCCTAGGCAATATAGTGAGACCCTATCTCTAAAAAAAATTTTTTTTTAATCAAATTCAGAGAGAGCAACTTGTTAGCATTCCTCTATGTGTTTTCTAGTCTTCTGCATCGAGTTAACACTTAAATATGAAAACATTCTCTTTTGACTTGCCAGTAATTCTAGTCAGGATTTCAGCTGCAAGAAACAGAAAACATGATTCAAAATGATTTAAGTAAATAAGGAAAAGTATTGTCTCTTGTAAGAAAACTCCAGAAATAAGGCTGTGTCCAGGGTTGGTTGAATCTGTGGTTCAACAGCGTTACTAAGGACTTGGTTTTTGGTCTCTTTGCTGTCCATAACATCTGTTTCATCCTGTTCCCCTTATGGTTATAAGATGACTGCAAGAGATTTTTTTCCTCATGCCAAGGTTTCTCTAAGTCTGCTTGGGCTGTCCTGAGTGTCTACCTCTGAACCAAAAGTGGTCCCCAGGGAGTGCCAGAAGCTGAAAGACTTAGACTAATCAGTGAAATTGAGTGTGTGCTGGGGAGTCAGCCAGTGCATGTCCACAGCCTTTCAATCCAGATCATTGGGGTGGGGTACTTTTCATTAGTGTTTCTCCATGTTGTCTTTAGATGACGTGTTTTTAAAGGATGTTGCACACAGTGTGGTTCTACAGTGTTTATATTTCCCTATCTAGTTAATGTTGGATGTCTCCTAGTGTTCTTTTGGAGATGTATGGTTCAAAACAATTTTTTTTGTTGTTTTCAACCCCATGCCAGAAAGGCAAGTAACTAATAACTGCAGGGCTTTTATTGTTGGATGTTGAGTTTTTCTGTTTTAATTGCTGCCTTTATACATTGTTTTCTAAAATAATATTTAGTGCTCCAGTTTATTAGACTAATCATTTCCCCAATTAATACACAAAAAAGATTTTATTTTGTTTTTCAGAATAAGTTTTACATCGAAACCAAGCTTAACAGAGACTTAAAAGATGACCTTATAAAGCTGTTTACGGAACATGTTGCAGAAAAGCACATTTACAGCCTAATGCGTAAGTAATTCAGCTTACAGGGGTGAGATAAGACTAACAATGATCTTTCCTTTTTCTTTTTTTTGGTCTGAGAGTATTGTCATATGAGCCCCAATGTTAACATCTTCTGAACCAGATAGCAGGAAGTGTTGAAGCCCACCCGAGACACTGCAGAATTAAAAATGGGACTTGAAGGTCACCCGGTAAACAGCTTTACCAGGTCATTGGACAGTGCCATTGTGTCTGCCCTGATAACTTGTTGCCACGACCACCCCCTTTTTTTTCCTGACAGTGGGGAAAGTTCACTTCTAACTTTACTACCAGTGACTCTAGAAGGAGTACCGTGTTATTTCTTTAAAATGGTAGTACAGAATCCTCTCTGATTTTTACTCTTTAGTGCAGAAATCCTTCTCTAGTCTGGTTCTGTCATGTATTCTCCATTTTAGGCAAACTTCGCCTCTTGTACCCTGAGTTTTCTCTCCTGTGAATTAGGATTTGTAAAATATTTAATGTGGCTGTATAGATTATTAAGAACATTAAGCTCAGTTAGTTTCTTCTCTCTCCATTCTTGAGTCCTCTTTGCAGTAGGTGGCATCTCATCCTACCTTTCCTGAAAGAATATACTTCTCCAGGTGGAGTTAGGAAGTCCCTGTAACCTAATGTCTCAGCAGCCTTTTAGCTCATATCTTTTGCAGCATATCATTTGTTTGAATGTGGTTTATATTTGGGTTGGCAGTATGTATTTTTGCTTTCCTGTTAGTCATAATTAGTGTCTACGACAATGAACTTTTACCAGAATTTACAGAAGAATCGTTCTAAGCTTGACCATAAACTTTTTTTTCATTTTTGATGTCAAATTAAGTGAAGGAATTATCGAGCATGGGGCTAGTTTAGAAAGACAGGTGTTTTTTTTTTTTTTCAAAGAATAGTGTAGTTGAAGATAATATACATTTCATTATTATGTTCCCAAGAGATTCCAGAATCAGAAAAGAGGCCTAGAATCTTGGGAATACAACAGCTTTTTTTTTTTTTTTTTTTTTTTTTTAAAGGCTGGTAGATGTTTGTAAACATCTTTAAACATTGTCTCATTAGGTATTCCAGGTATTATAAGCACTTAAGTATTTCCTGATACTGACATTATTTTTTTGCTTGCATGACAAAATAGAGCATTTTGAAATCTTGTTAAAGTTCTATAGAGAAGTGCTACCATTTGGTAGAAAAAACCTGTCTACTTTGTAAATATGTTTTTATATTTGCCAGTAATTTGGAAACTAATTTTATTAGATATATGCAAAGAGAATGTAGTAGTCCAGATCTGGTGAGAGAAAACATAATAATATTGTCTGGTTTTCAATAAAAATTACACTTAAAGGTGGATATACCTTTTTTATTTCCAAGTGAACAGAAAAGGCCCTTAAGCTTTTGTAAACTGGACAGAACTGAGTTTATCAGATATTTATTGAGCAATTATCAGGCATTGGGATACAAAAAGTGATGACTGGCCTCATTGGTTTGAGCTTCAGAACAAGGGACAATGTTTAACAGTATTATGTGGATCATCATCAAAAGGTTTAAACACACGCACTGCTTATATGTGGTAGAACCTATGCTTTACAAATATTTAACCCTATAGGATAGGGTTAAATAAGTTTTATAGATGGAGAAACGGAGACAAAGAGAGATTAAAATTTCAACCAGAATAGCACAGCTATTAATGTCTTGTTTCTACTTACACAGTTTTATGTCATCCCTTTACTGCAGCAAAACAAATAATTATGTTCAATTTCTGTAATTTTCTACAATCTGACCAGTAATTCCTTCCTGTGGCTTCAGATAGATCTGGAAAGCTGGTGTTCCATTTATTGGTGTATAACAAATTACTCAGAAACATAGTGGCTTCAAATAGTAATAGTCTTTTATTTTGCTCTGTAGCTTGGGAGGACTTGGTGGGGTAGTTTATCACTGCTCTGCTCAGCATTGGCTGATGTGACTCAGCTGGCGGCTGGGGCTTTCAGTGTGACTCGTTCACGTGGCTGGCAAGTTGGTGCTAGCTTTTGGTCCCTCTGTGTTTCCTTCATGAGTGAGTATCTCAAGATACAGGAAATGGAAACTGCTGGTTTCTTAGGTCCTGGGCTCAGAAACTGGCACAGTGCAACTTTTGCTGTATTCTGCTAGGTGAGCGATTACAGATCCCAAATTCCAGGAGAGAGGAATGTGTCCCACCTCTTGAGAGGAGGCACGTCAGAAGAATTTAGGAGCCATGTCTTAAAACCAGTACAAAAATGTAAAATGAATACTGTCTCTGTTAATAGAGAATCCGTTCTTGAGTGCCCTATATTATTCGTTATTAGTATGTTTCATGATGAAGACAGTGACTTCTTACTGGAGATGAAGCTAGTTTTCTGTTGGCTCCATGGTATAATCATTTTTATACATATTTGCTTATAAAATAGCTTCTGTTTTTTGGCTGGTAGTAAAATTATTTTCCTTTGAAATTATTTGAATTAAACTCTGAAAGCTATAGAACTACTAGGATCTATTGTTAAGGTATTTACATATTGTGTTGGTGATTCTGATCAAATGTAACAATAAATGTGTAGTATAGGGTAAATTAATGGTAAAAATTTCCTGGGAAAAGATAGTGTGTTGATTTTTGCAGTGGAAGATTTATAGTTCAGTTTGCATAATGTTTTAAATAATTACGATTTAGTTAATTTTCTTAGGCAATTCTGCCTTTTAGTTAAAAGCATTGTAGTTTGAGATTTTTTGAAGCCAAGCATATTTTCAGTTTTGATTTTAAGAATTGCTTTTCGGCCGGGCACGGTGGCTCATGCCTGTAATCCCAGCACTTTGGCAGGCTGAGGCAGGTGGATCACGAGGTCAAGAGATCGAGACCATTCTAGCTGACATGGTGAAACCCTGTCTCTACTAAAAATAAAAAATTAGCTGGGCTTGGTGGCATGTGCCTGTAGTCTCAACTACTCAGGAGGCTGAGGCAGGAGAATTGCAGTGAGCTAAGATCATACTACTGCACTCCAGCCTGGGCGACAGAGTGAGACTCCGTCTTAAAAACAAAAGCAAAAAAGAACTGCTTTTCAAATTAATGAAGGAGAGAATCCTCTGAGCAAGTGTGTAGCACCGTGAAATACTTGAAAGAGCAGAGGAGATTGGTTCTGGTCTCAATTCAGGTATCAAAAAGGTGTGTGACTTTCAGCAAGACGCTTAACCTGTCTAGACTTTAATGTTGCAATCTGGAAAGAAAGCGATTAGGATTAGAAGTGATCTAGTGTTTAAATTATATGGTTTATTGATGTCTGTGGGATGACCGTTGCATATAAATAAGCATTTTTGGTATTGGTATGAAGTAGAGTACAGAATTTAGAGTGAAACACAAGTTTTTGAACCTCTTCTGCCTCTAGTTTAGCTCTGTGACTTCAGATGAATTAGTCAATAAGGGATTTTTGTTTTGTTTTAGCCTTAGTTTCCTTACCTGTTTAAAAATATAAAGGTAGATGACAAAGCTCGTAAGAATTAAACATACGTGAAGTACCTAGCACTTGCTAAATATATAGTACTCTTTCCTCTCTCAAGATACCACACCCAAACTGCCATTTCTTTTTCCTTAAAAGGGAAGATTAACTAGAAATTCTTTTAAGATTTAAACACTGTTTTTCTAAAAAGAGTAAGTAGAGATTTGAGTGAAATGTTACACCTTCTCAATTATAATTATCTTCTGTTATTTAATGTAATCATTTAAAATTTATTTCAAGTTAATTTGTGTACATTTTATGTGTTTATCTTTGTATTTATCATTTCTTCATAGCTCTCAAATTTGACATAGGTGATTACAATTATGGTAGGAGTTGTTTGCAAATGTATATACTTGACCACATAATGAATATGTGGTTGGATATGAAGAGTTGGTGGGAGCAAGGCTAATTGGAGGCCAAAACGATTGATGAAAAAGTTAGGAAGATGGATTAATAGAGAGCTTGGATGATGGATACCTGTTGAAATTAGAGAGAACCTTATGAGTATAAGAAACTCTGAAAACCTAACACTTAGAATTTAGATTTATTTAGAATTTAGATTTTTTTTTTTTTTTTTTGAGATGGAGTTTTGCTCTGTCACCAGGCTGGAGTGTAATGGTGCCATCTCAGTTCACTGCAACCGCCGCCTCCTGGGTTCATGCGATTCTCCTGCCTCAGCCTCCTAAGTAGCTGGGACTGTGGGTGCAGACCACTACACCTGGCTAATTTTTGTGTTTTTAGTAGAGATGGGATTTCACCATGTTGGCCAGGCTGGTCTCAATCTCTTGACCTCGTGATCTACCTGCCTTGGCCTCCCAAAGTGCTGGGATTACAGGTGTGAGCCACCACGCCCAGCTAGAATTTCAATTTTTAAACATTGCATAAAGCAACGTGATTTTATGAAATGCTTAGCATTTGCCTTTGCCAAACTTTCCCAACCCGTGGCCTGTGAACCCCATGCCGCCCAGTACGGCTTTGAATGCTGCCCAACACAAATTTGTAAACTTTCTTAAAACAAGTTTTTTTGCAATTTTTTTTTTAAGCTCATCAGCTGTCATTAGTATTAGTGTATTTTATTTGTGGCCCAAGACAGTTCTTCTTCCTGTGTGGCCCAGGGAAGCCAAAAGATTGGACATCCCTGGTGGTCTATGCCGTTAAAATTGTAACTATCTACTGATGATAAAATTGGAAGGATAAACTTGAACAGTGCACCTCTGATGGCCTTCATCAGTACATTCAAACATACCTCACATTGTATGTTTGAGACTATAAAATCTTCATTGGCCTAGTAAGATGGCATTAACCTTTTTGGAAAGCCATGGATGGAACAAAATCAGTTTATATATGATGTTACAATCGTGGCTTAGAGTAAAATCATACCACATGTTTTGTTGTTGTTACTAGCAAATGCAGGTCTTTGAGATAAATTAAAAATGAGTCATTTTAGGTCAGTAGTACCTGTTCACTAATCAATGGAATTCAGTTGTATTTGTTAGTGATCTAATCTAGAGAATTATTCCTACTCATTAAAAACTTTAAAAATGTTTGTGTGGCAGTAGATAACCTAAAAGAAAACTGACTCTGTTGTCATCTTCAGAGTCAGGGTCACCAAAGACATGAAATTAAGATGAGCCATTATCATCCCTTGCCCTTAGCTCTTGTAAGAAAATAGTAGATGTAGCTGTAGCATTTGGGGAAATGAATTTCTGTCTCTGACCACAGTTACCAAATAACTGCTAATGGTGATTTAGGGGAAGGAGAAATGATTGAGGGAGGTTATTGTATGACACTTTATTCCCCAAATGTAATGGAAGCACTTTCAGCTCACTTATTATGTATCATGAATACTAGTGCTTTTAGAAAGCTTTACTTTTTAGAACCTCCATGAATTGATTGATTTCCTTTAGTGTGCCAGCACACCTTCCTGTATTTACCTGTTAGCTTGAGCTACTGCACTGGATTTAAAAAATAAAATCCTTAGTATATAAATGTTTGATTGGTTTATTGGGCTGTTTCTTTCTTACAAGTGTTTATGTTTTGGGAGGCTTTGGGAGAAACACTAATGGAGAAATCTTGACAGTCAATATGTGTTATATTCTTTTTAACCGGTGTTTCTCTTATTTCAGCTTTACTTTTAGAAGCCCAGTCAACACCATTTCAGGTCACACCTTCCACTATGGCAAATATTGTGAAAGGCCTGTATACCCTAAGACCAGGTAAACATTTTGTTGGGATTGGAGCTGTTGTTTTTGCACAATCTGTGAGAGAAATACAAGAAGTATTTTCTATTTGTCCCACCTCACACTGCACACACTCACAGACATCCACATTCACAACTCCATCGTCTTAGGCCTGTTAAGTAACTTACGGAAAAGCTACAAGTGTTGGTCAAGTATCGGTCATTTTGTAAGGATGTTCTGGGAAGAGAGAGAATCACGAGAACCAAAGCAAATACCAGACATCACCACAGTCAAAAGCAGAATAAAACATTATAAATTGAAAGGAATCCCAAAGAGCTTTTGTATGTATCTTTCTATAAGCCAGAACCTCAAACTTGTTATAGAGTTGTCTAGCAAATTTTAAAATGTCCATAGGAGAGAGATTTCAGAAGTTATCAGGGCAGAACATTGTTCTACAGTCTATAAACACAAGGGATGCTTTTTACACAGTAATTACCTTTTTGTGAAATTTTTTTGTTTGAGGATTAAACGAAATAAAATGATATAAAGAGCTTAACACACAGTACCTGATAACATAATAAGCATGCAAACATTAACTGCTGTTATTACTATCCATTTGAGTTTAATGGCTATTTTAATTAATTGATGGCTTGATTGTTTGCTTAATTAATTTAATCGATGTGTCAGAATTTAGCAAGCTGAAATGGAAATCAAGTGAAAACTGCAACTGGGGTAGACTGATTTTAAAAATCCCTTCTTAGGCTTCTTTAAATGGTGAATGACTTCTAGAATATTCAGAATTTTTTTTTATTGTTACTTAAATTTGGATCTAGGTTTTGAGCTCTACTCTATGTTTTTTAACAGAAATTACTTGTATAAAGTAGTAAAGATATTTTATTGCATGTGTCTAATAAACTGATAGTTTTCTATATCTAGTTTGTCAGAATTTTACAGTTGTGAGATGAAGATGTATCCTGAAATTGTGTGTGTGTACTAGGTTATGAATGATTTTTTTTCCTTTGAAAGCATCTAAGTGCAGTATGACAAATTTGCCTCCCAAGTAGGCAGGTTTATAAGCTCTGGCTTTTATCGTAAGTAACAAAATTGCAAAATAAAGTTAATCACTAAAGGTAGGAAAATATTGTAAGTACATGTTTATCTAAATGCTGTTTTATCCAGGTTCAAGCTCCTGTAACAGGATTTATACTACTTGTAAGGAGAATTCTGTATTTGAGAATCGTCCTTTTGAAAAGGTGAATTTTATCACACGCTAACCTTTTGCTGCCTTGCGCATTTTCTGAGATACTTTAAAACATATTTTGACATTTACATGTCTTGCCAGTACCCATTATGTTCCTGCTTTATTAAAGCAGTTTTATCTACCTGACAGATTAAGGTTAGAATATTTTAAAAGATGAATTTTGGAAGGGAAAGTTTGTTCCACTGCAGTAGTTCTCAAGTGCTGGTCTTTGTATGACTGCGTCTGAATCACTTAAGAAAGCTTTTTAAACTCTAGATTCCTGGGCTGTCTTCCTTGGAGCTTCTGATGACTTACCATTTTTGGCATCCAGTCTTTAGAAATAGTTCCAGCAATCCTATCCTGCCCCTTTTCATTTAATATACATGCTTTGTTTCTTCATCTTTATTTTGTGGCAGATGGGTTTGACCTTTGCCAGCTCTGGCTGATTGATAAGTAGTTCCCTGTAGCACTATATTGAGATTCTTACTGAAGCCATATTTGAGCTGGGCTGGAAGGAGGGACCTATGGAAAACATTTTGCCACAACTTTCTCCAGGGAGTGACTGAATAGATTGGTCCTTGTATCGTTTGCAGTACTTATTTGCCAACTTTAATTTAGCTATTCTGTTAGACTTCCTTTTAACTTGTCACTTTTTTACTTACCACAGACCAAATGTGGCCTTTTCTGATTTATAGTCATTTAATCAGATTATTGTTTTTAAAGTGGGTTTACTGGATTCAAGAGCATTGATATTTTTACGGTTTTTAAATGTACAGCTGAAATGTTTTCCAAGAGGAAAAAAAAAACAATTCAGAATGAATAATAGTGTTAATTGAGGACCACCACCAACACCAAGAAAGGGAAATACTGGTTTCCCCATGTCGTTGTTACAAGTGGGTGTCCGTTCTCTTTAATGTTCACTGAATAAAAGGGAGAGAATATGTTTATTTTAGCTTGATTTTTTTTTTTTAATATTAACAGGGCTATTCTGTTTATATTATGCTTACAGGTTCTTTCACTCATTTATCCGATCTTACTGATTTGTATATATTTGTTATAATAAAGATACTAATTCATCTTTGTCATACATGGTACAAGTGTTTTCCTGTGACTTCTTTGCCTTATTTTCTATAGATTAGTGTCTTGATCTTTTAAAAAATAATTTGATAACCATTTTTTTTTTACTGTTGTTTATGTATATTTGCTGTAATTTAACATGGGTCAAAAAATATTTTCAAAGTACTGACCAGTTACCTCCAGCCCACTTATTAAATGTTCAGTCCCCCCTACCTTTGGTGTTGCCCTTTTTAAATATGTATTATTTGTACTGTCTTATTCTTGGGCTATATGTTTTTTTAATTAATGGCTAATAAGGCTGATATTTCCGCCCACCACCCTCCCTTCCACTTCTGAGTGGAAGTCCCTCCCACTCAGAATTGTTTGATAATCTCATTCATGTTTTCCTCCATAATTTTCTATAAGATTTGTTCAAAAATTTTCTAAGGATTTTCACTTAATGCTTTTAAATTGTAAAATATTAAAATGTCTTTCTTCATACTGAAATTCTTTTTAGAAGGGACATTTAACTTCTTTGTATGTTCTTTACCAGAATGGGATTGCACTAATTTTTTCTGCTGCTTTAAATTTGGCTTATTTTTATTCTTTAAACAAAAGAAAACTTTCCCTTTTCCATTTAATCTGATGTGTTTATCTGATTTCCTTAATGAATCTTTTTCCTTTCCTCACAGAGTGGGTTCAGATGGCTCCAACTCTATTTTCTAAGTTTATTCCAAATATTCTCCCTCCGGCGGTGGAATCTGAACTTTCTGAATATGCTGCTCAAGATCAGAAACTTCAAAGAGAACTTATACAGAATGGTTTTACAAGGCAAGTTGTTTTTTTCCTTTAGTGGTCAAATATGACCATTTCCTTAGGCCAGTTTGGCCTGACAGGGGAGAAATGTTAAGGCTCTCAGAAAGGAAGGTGACTGGCCAAGAGTCCTGCTGCTGCAAGAAGACATTAGTTCCCTGTCTGTAGAAATGTTGAAGCTTGGCTTTGATTGTGGAAGCTGCTCTTCATTTACATACATTTTGAAGAAGAGATTTCTCATTGGGCGAGCAGCTAGGTGGGCAAGCTCCAAGAGCCCTTTTAACTCTGATTTCTTGTATTAGTCCTGTGCCTATGGAAAAACATTAGAGAACTGTTATGATCTGCTATAATGTACTTGTGACTAACCTAGCAAAGAGGCTTTAAATACTGTATTTCATACCTCCCTTTTTGCCCTAAATTCTAGTGGTTTCTTCTTAAAAAGTAGGGCATCTCTTTGTATGTCCAGAAAATTTGCCTGTTTTGATTTTGATAATTTTTCTAAGTTTTTTATACTTCATTATCATCGTGATATCACAGAAAGGCTTGTAGAGTGCATTTTTCAACTAAAATACATTATTATAAAATTTTGGGGATTCCCTATGAGAAAATAGCCTATATCACCAAATCATTTAAGGGCACAATAATATCTTGTGTTTTTATAATCCTTACTCTTAGCATGTCTAGATACTTCAATGTATCTCCTTTCATTTGGCTTCCTGACAGGAAGAAAGTTGTGGAAAGGAATACACTTGAGGTATCTTAGGCATAGTTGTGTCTATAAATAGTAGGTTGATATTTGTGAAGGTATATGCCACAACTGAGAAAAAAAAAATAGTAGGTTGAGCGTTGACTCACTTATCTGGCTAGAGCTGGGGATGGGCATTTTTTTTCAAAGGGTCTGAGGCCAAACTGAGTTTCAGAAAAACAAGCCTTGGCTGGGGTCACTGTTATTAAGTCTAAGATTAGGGACAAAAAGCAGGTAATTTGTTGGTCCCTGGACTGGTATTTCCTTTTTCTGTCCTGGTGACATCTGTACTGGTGTGATGGGGAGGCAGTGAGTAATTCACTGGTCATTTACCCCATCTTTGACAGCTTACACTGGAAGGGATCAGTGAAGCTGTGGAGATGGGCCTGTGAGACCTGACTTTCTGTGGCTAGGAGGAGGAAGGGCCAGTAGGAAATGCTGGAATGTAAATAGTTTTTCTCTTTGGTGTCAAGGGATCAGATATTTCCTCACATGAATTGTAGTAAGTTCTAGCAGAAAGAGAGTGGTATTATTTTCATACACAGAATGAGGCCACTTAATGCCGTATTTTTATTTTTCAAGACTAACATTTACGTGGTTCAAAAATCAAAATGATATAAAAAGTATACATTGAGAAATTTTGCTCCCACCTGTCTCCCTGTGTACCCCACCCCATCAAGTAACCATTTTTATGTTTGTGATTCCGTGTTTTAATATAGATACAAGCAAACACAATATATGTCCATGTTTGTATTTTTTACACATTCCATTGTGTGTATAGACAAAACCAGTCCCCAGTAGATGGCCACATGAGTTATTTCTAGTCTTTTGTTATTGTAGACAGTGCTGCAGCAAATCACCTTGTATTATTTTGTACTTGTTGCAGGTGTATTAGGAGGGTGAATTCTCAGAAGTGGGATGTCTGGGTTAAGAGTAAATGCAGTTGTAATTTTGATTAATATTGCCAAATTGCCCTCCACAAGGGATTATGCCACTTTGCCTGTCCACCAGCAAAGGTGGAAAGTTCCTATTCTTTGTGGCCTTGCGTATAGTATGTTGTTACACATTTGTATTTTTGCCAACCCAGTAGGTAAAGAGTAATTACTCAGAATTGATTTAATTTGCATTTCTTATTAGGAGTAAGGTTGAGCATATTTTCATATGTTTGCATTTCTTTTTCTGCAGACTGCCTGTTTAAAGACCTATGCTCGTTTTTCTTTTAGTTTTCTTGATTTCTAGGAAATCTCTATAGTGAAGATGTTGATTCTTTGTCCAAGATAAGACATTTTTCTCAGTTAGCTTTTGCTTATGGTAGTGTTTTCTGTTGTTTTGCTATGCAGAAGTATCTGATTTTCACAAGTTTTTTTGTGGCTTGTGTATTTTGAATTATAGCTAATAATTTTTCCTTAAATTTTTTTGAGTTGCTAGGACTACAGCCCCCCTCCCCCAACCAATTGTTTTAATTTTTTGTAGAGACAGGGTCTTCACTCATGGGCTCGAGGGTTTCTCTTGCTTCAGCATCCCAAAGCACTGGGATTGGAGGCATGAGCCACCCTGTGAGGTCAATATATACCTATTTGATGAGATGGAGTCTCACTCTGTTGCCCAGGCTGGAGTGCGATTGGCTACACTCTCTGCTTCTCAGGTTCAAGCGATTCTCCTGCCTCAGCCTCCCAAGTAGCTGGGATTACCGGCATGTGCCACCATGCCCAGCTGATTTTTGTATTTTCAGTAGAGATGGGGTTTCACCATGTTAGCCAGACTGGTCTCAAACTTCTGACCTCAAGTGATCCCCCTGCCTTGACCTTCCAAAGTGCTGGGATTACAGGTGTGAGCCGCTGCACCTGGCCCACTGTTCCTAAATAAATGCAAAATAATCTGAGTATGATATTTAGGTTTTTTCCTAGGCTTACTATAATTTTGAAGTCTTTATACTTTCATATGTTCATGTTTTATTTAAACATTTGCTCTTAGTTTAGGATGAGTTTATGCCTTTTAAAAAAGAGCCTTCTGAAAACTTATTTTTGTGAAGCGGTATAGGAATATAGCTCTGTGAATTTTGAGCATTTTGAGTTTGCCTTCCAGAGCAATGTGTACAATTGTTTAAACATGCCTGGAGTCATTTTTCTAATCCTAGTTTTGGTACTGGAATAAGAGAACGGTGCAGGACTGCTTGGTTTATAGTAGCTCTTATGTCAGATTTGCTTGGGGTGAGATGAGTAACTGCCTCTGTAAATAACCTCAGGTAGCATGCTTCTGCACATGAAGGCCTAACATGACACTATTCAGCCAATGTCCAGGTTGGTTATATTCAGAGAGATGTCTTGGATTTTTGGTATAAATAGGCATTTTTGTTTCTCAATGGAATTATTTTATAAAACTTCTAGCTGAGATTTAAATATTAGGCAGTATTCCAAGGGGTGATAAAATTAAAATGTTTTATTTTACCAACTTAACTGGACCATTTTTATAATTAACACTTTATTAAACTTGTCTCATTATTCTGACAGGTACTTTGCACAGAGTAAGCCTGCCAAAGCAGACATTCTCGTATCTAATTCCGAGCTTACTCATACTGGCCAGGAAAGACGTGCGCATGCCATCTTTGGCAGCTCTTATGGAGAGCCTGCCTCTGCTCTTGTGCAGGGACCGTCCACATTCTGTCCACCTTAATGCCTTGATTGTTACTTGATTAGGAATAATAATTTTGAAAACAGTGGTGTCCACTGATGCCAAAAAAAAAAAAAAAAAAGAATATAGTACAGGCTGTCTTAAGAAATCTGTTTCTGCCTGTTCTGAGCAGTCATTTTATGGTTTATGCCTAACCAACCACATGATTCCTGTTCAGTGTTGCGGGCTACTTTTTCATGTAAGATGATGAGCTTCAGTGATGCAGTGATCCTGAGTAGGCAACACACAGCTTTCATGTGGATGGCACAGAGTAAGTCTTTGAATTGTTTTAAAATAATGTGGATGTTGTCAAACATGTCCTTTTTGGTAGTTAGTGGACAGATTCTCATTTGGACTGGAATTTCTGTGAAATGTAATCCTTAGGTGCGTGAAAATATAGGGTAGGCTAGAATTAACATATAAGCTAAAAGCAACAGTTTCTTTTTATCTCTTACCTACATTATTGAATTGACTGGTCGGGGGTGGAAGTTTGGTATCTGTTGTCAAAGATCATGCTACAGAGGAGAACCACTAGCTTTAAGTAAACAAGGTAAGAACAGAGGTATTTTAGCTAAAAGGGTGACGCAAAAATTTGGGCTTTTTTTGTTTTGTAGTAAGGTCTGGTTTTGAGAGAGTGTACTGGACTTAATCTCTTCAGCAGCCTCTTACGTATATCACATTGATACTCCTTTTCCTGCCTCTCGTTTTCACATCTGTATTTTTCTCCTGTTATGTTTGCATGTTCAGTTTTTATTTGACCTTTGAGGAATGAAAATGAAGGTTGTGTCTAAAAGTTGAGGTTCTCTTCCTTTTGAATCATTAACTTAATTTCAGAATATTTGGCAAATGCAACTGTGATACTAATGTAAATAACAATGGAAGACACTTGGCTTTGGCTAGGTGTAGTGTTAACAGAAGTGTTGGAGCTCTTTTGGCCATGGAAGGCTAGTTTGTGCTGAATGTGGTACCTACAGAAAAACCCTTCAGAGGTCCTGTGGTGTGTTCTCTTTCTGGCAGTCATTGAGGCTCCTTACTCAGCTTAGCAGAAGGTTTCTGCCCTGATCCTAAACATAACCAGATAAAGAAAATGGGAAACTATCTGGAAGATTATTCAAAAGCAGGAAATAATCACCTTGGTTAGCATTTTAATAATTTATGAGACTATTTACAAATTACTACTTTGTCAAGCCAACAAACATTTATTGTCTACACTCTACTAGGCAGTGGGGTGAACAAGACCGGCTGAGTTCCTGTTTTCATGGAACTTATGTTTTGTTGAGGTAAAAAACTTGTAAAAAAAAAAAAATAAATAATACTGAATAAGTCCTATGAAGAAAATGAAACAGAGGCTAGGATAGTGAGTCACCAGGGCATGTGTGAGGGGTTCTTCCAGCTAACTTGGTGATGTAATGCCTTCCAAGGAGAGTGTCAGAGACAGTAATTAGTAGTAAAGTGCTGATGTGCAGGGGACAGCCAGTGAGCCAGGGTGACTGATGTATAGTGAACAGAGGCTGAGAGTGGAGGTAAGTGAGGTGAGAGCAGGCAGGAGCTGTGCGGCAGGGCTGGAGAATGAGTTGGAATTAATTTTTAACTGTAGTGGGAAGCCACTGAAGGGCTTTCATGAAAGGCATGAAGTAATCTATCTTCTACAGAGACCACTCTGGCTCTTGTCTGGGCTGATAAATAAGGCTCGTGCAGTTGTGCAGGGAAGAGAAGACTGGCTTGGCTTGGGATCATAGCAGTGGAGTTAATGAGAAGTGATTGGTTTTGGGACAGAATGCTCCAGAGTGAGGAAAAGAGAAAGACCAAGGATTTTGGGCTTGAATAATCGAGCTGGAAGATTGAGGATGGAGTGGAGTCTGCATTCTATTCTGGTCATGGTAAACTTGCCAGTATATATAAGTCATCCAAATGGACATGGTAATGAGGCAGTTGGCCCTGCAGATATGAAGTATAGAAAGGAAGGCAGACCTGGAGCTGTAGATCTGGGAGCCTCTGGCCTGTGGAGAGAATGTACGATCACCATCCTAGACTAAGAAGAATGCACATGGAGAAGAAAAGATGGCCAGCAACAGAGCGCTGGGCAGAGCCAGCAAAGGAGACCGGAAACGGATGGCAGACAGGGTGAAGTAAGGTCAGGAACATGTGCTGTGGCATCACTGAAGCCTAAAGAGAAAAAGTCGTGTTTCAGGAAGAAATCAACTTATAAGTGCTGAGGAAGAAAAGCTAGTGAGTAGTTACTATTACTCATTACTTAAAGCATTTGAGTCATTTCTCTATTACTATCTGAGAAGCCAGAGAGACAAAAATAGGATATGTAGGTAGCATAGGGCCTGTGGAACTAGAACTTTCATAGGTGTTTAAGGGTGAGCTGGTCAATATAGGTGCTCGTGTTCTTGCATAGTGAGGTACATCAAGATTCTAAGATGTCTAATATGTATTTTTAAATACAGAAATGTCTGCCATACTTTTATTATCAAATATATTGATCCGTTCCTCCTGTTCTGATGTGAAGTCAGTTTTGTTGACTGCCCCTTCTTCTCTTATTCCCAGAGGTGACCAGTCCCGGAAGAGAGCTGGGGATGAGCTGGCTTATAGTAAGTAATGATGTTCCTTCCCGTCTAGATGGTTTTGTGATGTGAAGCAGCTAGTGGTGATAATGGTGCATAGAATGTGATGATCCCACGTTGTTCTTGATGATGGTCTCATAAGGCACTGCTTGTAATCAAGGTCAGGCTGCTCTGCAAGCTGTGGCAGCTCCGGCTGGGAGGTGTGATGGTTCTCAGGGAGTTGGCAAGAGGCCACCAGGCTCTTTAGTTTCCACTGGGATGAGGCTGTTGCCCAGTCTCAGTTTCTTAGGATCTCAGTCCCCTTTTACTTCCCTCCATACCATTGGTTTTGAGGATTTTTTTTTAAGCCTTTTTTTCGGGAGTTTAAACAGATTGCTGCCATTATCCAGTGCTGTCTGGTTTTCATACTTTTCCCTGTTCTGGTGTTTTTTTCAGACAGCTCATCAGCATGTGCAAGTTCCAGGGGGTACAGATAGTGAATGTATTGAATATGCTTTCCTTCCTGAAAAGAGGACACACTGGAGCTGCAGAGACTTATTCAGAGCACAGTGGGGCTGCACACACTCAGGAGCTCTGTCACAAAGCTGTTCGTGGAAGAGGATGTTGGACTTCCTACTTGGTTTGTAATTTTAAAACAAAAAAAAAAAAACAAAAAAAAATGTTGCTGCTAGACTTGGGGGTGATTTTGAAATGGGACAATCTTTTAATGCGTTTATCTACAGATTCTGTGAGGAATAAACAAACATCTCAGAAAGTGACCATTTCTAAGTGAAATCTGACAGCCAAAATCAGCAGCTTCCTCCAAAAATACAAGAGCAGAAGAATCTTTTTTTTTTTTTTTTTTAAGCACTTGTTTTGTTCATTTGTGGACTTGGCATTTCGGTGTATTGGTTTCACGTCAGGATCTCTTTTGCTTTAAAACCAAGCAGATCATTACAATGCAGTATTTTTCACCCATAACCAAAACAACCCCTTTTAAAAGAGTTGGTCTTTGTTTAGCGTTAGAAAGTCTTGTTAAAGGAAAATGCTAACTTGCTTTTGCTAGAACTTTCCCCCCTCAGTTCACAACTTTTTTCTACTCTGTGCCTTGAGCTTTGTGCACTTTGCAACTGTGTGACCATGTTGTCAAACTCCTGGAGAAAAAAATGCCTCCTGGAGAAGCGTATGGTATCTAAACTCACCCACCAAGATGGCAGGTGTGACACTGTAGCAGGATGCTAATTAAGTGGGAAAATAGAAACCTGTTGCACATTGGTCAAATTTTCCCCTGGTAAACCAGAGCATATTCATGTAAATGTTGGGGACCAACTGTCATAGAGCATTTCCATTCCCTCTGTCACTTAACATGATGTCACCAGCTGCTGTACTATTGGCAGCACTCTAGTTTAGGGATGGGCAGTACTTTAGCACTGAAGCTCCCCTTCATATTATTGAGAGCTACTTCTTGTGATGCTCCAGGAAGCAGATACAGTTATTAAATCCAAATATACTCAGTGGTGTTGGGTTTCTGATTGCTTCATGGTAAATGAGTGAGATCGTGTCATTTGAACATTGTATTTGAGTGCGATAGGGAAGAAGACACACTGCTGTCTTAAGGCTCCCTTCCAGCTGTGGCAAAGCTGTAGTTTCTGTTTCTCCACATCCACAATGCTTTTTAGTTCTTCATAAAAGTCTCTGAAGCTTATTACAGCTGTTGTTGAAAGGCCAAGAAAAATAGATGTGGCAAGAGAAAAATCCTTTTCTTCTTAATGTTGCTTGAATCTTAATTGAGCATAGGCTTCACTCTGCTAGGCTACATCAGACTAATAGTATTTACCTCTTTAGAGAACTTGAGGGGGAAAAGAAACCTCCCAGGGTTGCTGTTGGATGTCTGCGCTGCAGGTTTTCATACAGCTGACTCGCCAGTTCAGTTTGTCATTTTTTCGGGGAGCGGTAAGGGGTGGGAGAGTTAGAAATGGGATACTGGGAGCAAGTAAATCACCCAATTCTAGAAGTCGTTGATTTGCAAAACTGTTACGCAGAGAAGGTAAAGGTTGTCAGATTTATTTTTTAAAGTACTTATCAACCAGAGTTGGTGGATTTTGTGGACTTTAATTGGATTCAGTTCACACTGAGCACCCCAGATTGCATCGATGAACACTGAATTACTTAGGAACGTACACAGGCTTTCACTATGACCTGTAAGTTTGAGTTGAGTTGCCACACCAGTAACATTCTAGTATCAAGGAGAATTTTATTCATCATGACATTCACATTTTACTTTTCTCTGTGGAATGCTTGCTGCAGGCTTTTAAGTAACACCTAGAACTCAAGTCTGAGTGGTTTGAATAATTTTTCTAAAAGGAATAAAACTGGAGTGTTTCTTTAAATGTGGACAAGTTCTGCAGTATCCTGATAATATACCCAAATGCTTTTTCTGGGAGAGAGCATTCTTACAAAATAAATTCCCTATTAAAGCATTACAGTATAATATGAATTGGCATTAAAATCTTTGGATGCTTTTAAGTTCATGGAGAGAGATTTTATATTCTTTTTACTATGTATTTATTAATAAGAAGTGGGCAAAGTAAAGTTTGCAAAATTTAGTTTCTCTAAATTTTTGCACAGTGACTGCAGCTGGCTATGGGTCAGGGCTTAGTATAACAAAACCTTGACTGGAAGGCACTGTAGAAAGGGTATACCTAGTCTCCCAGTCTGCAGTTCTGGCTGCCCATCATCTTGGCCTCTTGAGGTACATTGCAGTATGAAGGACCTGTTTGAGTTGAAATAGACTTCACTGATTTATTGGGATCCTTAACAAAATTGTTAGTTTGTATTATGAGAAGAAATAAGATTTCCTCCCCCTTCCCCCCATTTTATATTGACTGTTTGCCAGAAAGGATTTTCTTCTGTTTTCTTTTTTTTTGGAAATGGAGTCTTGTTCTGTCTCCCAGGCTGGAGTGCAGTGGTGCGATCTTGGTTCACTGCAGCCTCCACCTCCCGGGTTCAAGCAGTTCTCCAGCCTTAGCCTCCCAAGTAGCTGGGACTGTAGGCACACACCACCACGTCTGGCTAATTTTTGCATTTTTAGTTGAGACTCGGTTTCACCATGCTGGCCAGTTCATAAAAGTCTAGTTTCAAACTCTTGACCTCAGGTGATCCACCTCGGCCTCCCAAAGTGCTGGAATTACAGGCGTGAGCCACTGCGCCTGGCTTGTTTTCTTGTATTCTTGCTAGTATATGGTTTTTCTACTCTAATTACATACTGGCTTTTGTACTACATCACTAAAGGCCCAAACCATTGAAGATGGAAAATTGTACATGCAGGCTGATTGCCTGGTTAGCCAACACATGGCTGATTTGCTTAAACTGACTAGTATGTATGTGCAGCCTCCAACTAGATCCTTAAAAGGAAAGCCAGGTCAGTTATCTTGAAAAAATCACATGTGTCTGGGTATGGTGGCTCACACCTGTAATCCCAGCACTTTGGGAGGTTGAGGTGAGTGGATCACGAGGTCAGGAGATGGAGACCAGCCTGGCCAACATGGCGAAACTCTGTCTCTACTAAAAATACAAAAATTAGCTGGGCGTGGTGGCATGCGCCTATAGTCCCAGCTACTCGGGAGCCTGAAGCAAGAGAATCACTTGAACCCAGGACGCAGAGGTTACACTGAGCCGAGATCACGCCATTGCACTGCAACCTGGCAACAGAGCGAAACTCCATCTCAAAAAATAAATAAATAAAGTAGAGAGATGGTACGTATTTTAAAGGCTGGCCTTAAGCTTCAGTAACATTGTCATTTCGTGACCTTTGTTGTCACAGCTGTACCCTGACCTGACAGGAGTTACTACTTTGTTTTTTTGTGGGGCAGAAAGCAAAACCTGGTGTTGTGACTGTTAGCCTGATAGTTCTTAGGCAAGGTTATTAGTAAGAACAGACACAAACCCCGATGCATGGATTGTGCATTATTTTGTAGACAAGTTAGCTTCCTTCTGTCCCTTTAACAAACTTGCAGCAATTACCCTCCCTTTCTTTGGGGTTCAGAGTGCAAGCTAATTTGTGGGTAGATGAGATTGCAGAAGAAAGGATGTCCATGGTGTGAACACTGCACATCCGTCTCCAGTGCCCAGACCTGTGCAGCCACTACTCCCCTGCTGCATGCCATGCTGTCGGGTTGCAGATTTGCACACATAAATTCCTCAGGAAGAGTTTGCATGTGCATCACCTCGCATTATTCTGTACTGACCGAACAAGGGATTTTCAGCACAAAAGGATGACTTCCGAGTAGTGGTCTGTACGTGTACTAGCAAAGGCAATGGTGATCTGGCAAACAAAATTGGTTTCTGCAGCTGTAATTGAGCAGGAGCACTTGTATTATAGTATTTAAATAATCCTGGCTAATCTCTCTTTAAGCAGAGTAACTCTTCCAGATTTTGTCTTTTTATTATTGAGGCTGGCTGTATTTTCTTCTACTTTTTCCCCCTGTTTTATAGCAGTTAATTACTCCTGTGATTATTATGCAAGAGGCATTGCCCTTGAGTTAAAATTCTGTTGTTTCATAAGCCTGTTAAAATAACCGAGTATTGTTTTATGAACATACACTAATCTGAGATACTGAAAAGCTTTGCAACTAAAAAGCAAAACAAAAACCCTACATTAGTCATCTAGCCATTGTTTGGATGTTTTGAGTTGATTTTTTTTATGGTGCCTCTTTTAGCTTGGAATATTATGTTTACTTTAATCCGAGTCTAGGCCTTTTAAGGGGTCCTTAAAATTCAAGGTCAGAATGTGAATCCCTTTGACATCTATTTCAGGTTTATAGGACCTTTTTGGTTGTGATTACCATTTTCAATACGATTGTATAAATGAAGTTAACTTTTGTCAGAAGTTAAAATGGAGGTCATAGGAAGTTAAAATGGAGAAAGTTTAACTTCTGTCAGAAGTTAAAATGGAGAAATGGCTCTCCTATTTCTTTCATTACCCCATTGAAATTCACCCCAATTTCTGGCCACAAGAACATGTGAAAGGAACCCTGTTCTTTTCCAAGAGACAGTATTCCTCTCTGTCCTCACTGTTGATTAACTAAAGTCCCAGCCACCTTCCCTCCTCTACAGGCCAAGACCCACCTTGAATCTCTTTTCAGAGCTGAGTGGCATAAATACTTGTACTGTTTCTGCTTCTGTTGATGTAATGGCTATGGGAGAATTAAAGGAAATGCTAATTCGAGCTCCATTCTTAGGGGAATCTGGTATATATTACATCCCTGCTGATTGGAAATGATCTTCATCTCTGGTTGGACTGCATTGTCTAGAAAAATGTTAATGGCTTACAATTCTGAGCAGTTTATAGTGTGGCTCTGGGGTTAAGAATTCTGTGGTTTGAAAAAAAATAAATATTTTGTATTCTCACATGTCATTTCAATGTTGTGACTATGTACTAAATGCAGTAAGACTGTGGGTATTCTCTTAGAGTGTGTTTTGTTAAACAGATGGCAATTTACTCTCATTAGTCCTGCTTGTCAATATTACAGCCATGCACTTCAGGATAAATTATTCAAATGTGAAGTCACGGAGAACTATGGCTACTAACAGGAATGCTTATGAAAAATTTGGAGGGCAAGCACAGGCAGGAGGCTTTTGCCACTCACTAGCACAGCCAGAGCAAGGATGAAGCAATGAAGTCTTGTGCCTGGTGGTCATAGTGAGCTCCGCACAGGGTGTTCTGTATATCACCTCATTAATCCAAGGAAAACAAAATGGTGGATGAAACTCCTATTGACCTGATACAAAGCCACTGACTTTGGCTCTTGATCTTTTGGTGGATTTTGAATTACTCCTTCTGTATTAGGGTGTATACTATCACTCTAAAACATTGTGGTAAATGAAATAAATCTTGTACAGATGTTCTTGGCCTTGTTATGTTATAAATCCTGTACAGATGTCCTTGGCCTTAACACCTGGTTCACTGGAAATTTGTTATTATATAGAACATTTGATTTTGCTTATAGCATATTAATAACACCTCATAAATGACAGCTACACTGAACACATGTCTGTTACCACAGTTACCTAGCCTGCAGGGTGAGTGTTGATCTTGACGTCTGTACCAATGCTGAAAAACCAACTCTGTGTGTAACAATATACGTATGTGGTCATGTCTATTCCATATTCATATATAGTATGGAGGATATGGATAGCAGTGTATTTGTAGTTTTTCTTTTTTTAACACTGTTACAGTTTCTTTTGTGGGCCTTTAATCAACTTTTGGACGTAGGGTGTTTTTTTGTTTGCATTGGTACTGTACTTTTTTATAACCCATTGTGTTTTCTTGCTGTGAAATTAGTATCATCCCCTAGGTTATTTATAACCTTACTTTCTGGTTTTAGTTTCTCTTGCTGTCTCTCCAGAAGTGTCCTTTCCTACAGTGTTCTCAGAACGCCAGTTCTCATTCCTCTCATTTTTTTTGACCTCAGCTCTGTTGTGATATATCTACTTTTTGGTTACCACATATGGCAGAATTCAGTGACTTTCTGTTTTCCTTTGCATTTAAATCACCTGACAATTTTCTTTTTCACTCCCCTTTCCCACAGTTAAGTAGGGCGCCATTTAAACTTTCTTCCCTTTAGCCGGTTTGCTTTTTACTACGTACAAAACTTTTCTACTAGAACCAGCTAGTGTGTGTGTGTGTGTGTGTGTGTGTGTGTGTGTGTGTGTGTGTGAATTTTATTTCTTCTATTGGCCTGTTTCTCAGTAATCCAAAATTCTAAAATACCTTAAATATCAAAAAGCATCATAGAATGAATATCACACATATTAATAGAATCTGAGAGCACCTAGCTTAACTAGTTGTATTCTTGGGTTGTTTTTTTTTAATCGGTTTCCCTTTATTAAGCCCTTCCCCTCCCTAAATTGTTAAGCCAGAGGGCATAACGATTCAAAACTATCTAGTAATGTACCTACATGTCTAATAGTATACCTCAAAATGTACAAAGAAAAAAATGACTCACACCTGTCATCCCAACACTGAGAGGCGGAGGTGGAAAGATTACTTGAAGCCAGGATTTGAGACCAGCTTGGGCAACATAGACCTCATCTCTACAAAATTTTTTTAAAAAATTAGGGCGGGGCATTAGGGTGGCTCACACCTGTATTCGCAGCACTTTGGGAGGCTGAGATGGCAGAACATTTGAAGTCAGGAGTTCAAGACCAGCCTGGCTAATATGGTGAAACCCTGTCTCTACTAAAAATACAAAAATTAGCTGGGCATGGTGGTGTACGCCTGTAATCCTAGCTACTTGGGAAGCTGAGGCAGGAGAATTACTGCACCTGGGAGATGGAGGTTGCAGTGAGCTGAGATCGCACCATTGCACTCCAGCCTGGACGACAAGAGTGAAGCACTATTTCAGGCAAAAAAAAAAAAAACAAAAAAACCAGACCGCAGTGGTTCTCGCCTGTAATCTCAATAATTTGGGAGGCTGAGGTAGGTGGATCACTTGAGGCCAGGAGCTTGAGACCAGCCTGGCTAACATAGTGAAACCCTGTCTCTACTAAAAATAGAAAAAAAAAAAAAAAAAAATTAGCCTGGCCTGCTGGCACACACCTGTAATCCCAGCTGCTCAGGTGGCTGAGGCACAAGAAACACTTGAACCCAAGAAGCGGAGGTTGCAGTGGGCTGAAATTGCACCACTGCATTCCAGCCTGGGCAACAGAGTGGGAGTCGGTCTCAAAAAAAAGAAAAAAATAGTTGGGCATGGTGATACTTGCTCATTATTCCAGCTACTTGGGAGGCTGAGGCATGAGGCATAGCCAGGAGAATTGCTTGCCCTCAGGAGTTTGAGGCTGCATTGAGCTATGATGACACCACTTAATTCCAGTTAACACAACAGAGACCCTGCCTAGGAAAAAATTTAAAAGAGAAAACTACAAAAGGGGAAAATGAACACAACTACAAGGGGAAATCTACCAACATAATAGGCATTTTCAACATACCTCTCTCAGTAATTAATAGATCTTGCAGAGACGGAATTATGAAGATTATTAAGGACATAGAAGATTTAAGTAGTACAACTAATCAGTTTGATCTGATGGATACACACACACACACACACACACACACATACATATATATAAAACATGTTGTACCCTTCTGTAGGAAAACAAGCATTTTTTGCAAACCAAATCTAACAGTGTATTCAAAGTATAACAAATGACCAAAATGGATTGATCTCAGGAAGACAAGATTGGTTTTTTAATGTAATTAAGAAATGCAGTTTATAATGGGAACAAAAAAATATACCCTAAGAATAAATTTTAATAAAAGGAGGAAATGATTTTAAAAACTTAATGGACCTAAATAAATGTAGAGGATGTAATGGATAACACTCTATTACCTAAATCTCAACTTTTTCTCCAAATTGCAATTTCAATAAAATTCCCAATGATTTTCACTGTGGAACCTGAGAAGTTGATTCTTGAATATAAATGGAAGAACAAAGGGCCAAGGCTATCCAAGACCCTTCTGAATGGGTTGTGAGGGGAACTAGCACTACCAGATTCTAACACTTACTGCCAAAGATGGTGATTAAGCAATGACTTTGGAGTAGGGAATAATTTTATAAATAAGATAGAAAATGGAGACTATCAATTAAAATGTAAGTAATTTGGCTACATTGATCCCAAGTACTTTTATTTACCAAGCATGCCATAGGGTGAAAAGAGAAGCCACATCTGGAATAAGATACAAATATTCGCAATATATACATAACTGCCAAAGAGCACCTGAATGCAAATCAGCAATGAAAACAAATCAGGAGAGATGGACCCCAAACACAAGCAGTCATTTCACAGAAGAAACAGAAATGGCCCATCAGTGTAAAAAGATGTTCAGTCTCATTAGTTATCAGGAAATGCACATTAAAACCATGGATACCATTTCCTCGCTAACAAGTTGGCAGAAATTATGGGAAGTCTGAGAATAACAATCTGAGAGATTATGACAACAAACCTTCACCTGCTGTTGTTGGCATGTGAATCTGTACTACTTTGGAAAACAGTATTATCTAATGAAATTGAAGACAGGCATCTCTCTTATAGCCCACTATTTACACTTAGAAAAACTTATGTGCATGTGTACCAGGAAACATGTACAGGAATGTTTATAACAGCATTATGTGTAATAATTGTAAGGAAAGGGGGGATCCAAATGCCCATCTACTGAATAGTGAATAAATAAAGTGTATTTATGCAGTGGAATTCTTTAGAGTGGTCAAGGCATCATAACACTGTGGGCTTCAAAATGGATGCATCTCAGAACTGTCATATCAAGTGAAAGAAGCAAGTCAGAAGAATAGAGCCAGCCTGGGTACCTTTATATAAAGTTCAAAACCAGGAAAAACTAAGTATATTGTTTAGAGACTCATACACAAGTAGTAAAGCTGTAAAGGAAAGACAGTTATCAATGTTCAGGAACATAGTTTCTTCAAGGGAGGGTAGTGGAGGGGCATGAGAATAGAGGGGAGAACAGGGCTTGTAAACACTTGCTAATACAAACCTTTGGACCATTCTAAACATGCCAGTTCTCTGAGTTAATGTATGTTCTGTGCAAAGCCAATTCAGATAACCAACAGTATTTGTTTATATAATCTAAAAACTTATGGAAGTATGAACAGATGAAAATAGGAAACACTCCATTGAAAGTGAAAGAAATGGAAGGAACTTGCTGTACCAAAAAATACATCACTTTTTAAGTGCAATTAAATTAAAGCAGTTATGCTTTAAACAGACAGTCAATGGAAAGGTTTAGAAAATAGAAAAGAACTCGCATTTAGAATTTAGAGTACACTAAAGGCAGTTTTTGAAATTGTGCTGTTCATGGTGAATTATTTAATAAAAGATGCTGGTGTAAGTAGAGAACATGAAACTGATTCCTGTCATATCATTCACCAAGAGAAATTCCAGGTGGACTAAAAGAATGTCACACAAACTAGAAAATATTTTTTTCTTGGGGTTGGAAAAGTTCGTTCTAAGGACACAAGCAATGAAGCAGAAAACCCTATGTAAACTCACCTGCCTTTAATGCTGTAGTGTGTACCACTGTGTGTGTGTATGTGTGTATACATAGACACATATATTTTAAAATGTTTAAATTTGAACATAATGTTACTAATAATATAAAACAAAAATAGAAAATCAAAAAGATGAGGTAAAAGTTTAAAAATATTGTTCGTGTATTTGTGGTTAAAAAACCTTTGCTCGCTCTTAAAAATTTTTCTTTTAGAGAGTCATGATTAAAAATTCTTGTCATTTTTGAAACTCCTAGTTTTAATACTTTATAAAAACAACTTATTGTTCTTGTCTTAAGGTAAGTTTATTTTAATGCTTGGTTTTAATGACTATTGTAGCTGAAAAAGTCACTTCATTAAGATCTGTGGATCCAAATATGGCTGTGCTTACTGAAAACATTTTTGAGTTTCATCCACCAATTTTGCAAAAGTGTTTGTTGAAATTTTTATAATAAATTTTCATACTTTCCAGTGTCAGTAACTTGTTTTTGCTGAATAGTGTTGCATTTTTATTTTGCTAACAGATGGGTTCAAAACCTGCTGCAACTTATTTTTGAATTTCATTTCCCAAGTTTGTACACTTTGAAGAGTTTTTATAGGTGACAATTTTTGGCGACATGTTTTCATGAATTCTTGGTCATCGTTAGTATGTTATCTTTACCTTGAAATGTCAGGTTAAATCGGTCCATTAAAAAAAAAATACCTTCTAGATTGCATATTGCTTACAGACACTTGTCACCACAACAAAGACTAGCACATTCAAGCCGTTTTCATCAATTAAAAAAAATGACCATCTTTATGTTTTTAAGAATTTTGCTGTGAGATGATAACCAGCACATTAGGGGGTTAATTTCCTCATCTCATAAACTGTGGTCAGGATGCTCTCTGTATAAGATAATGAAAATCTAAGTCCAATTGGCATGTGGAGCACACAGATGACAGTATTCTGGAAGAGAATGGTGCCGCTGCTGCTCCCTCTGTGATACAGAGTTCTTGGCACTCCTTTGAGGATTCCTCACTGACTTGCATGTGCTGCCTGACCACTTGACATGCGGGCTCTGTGTAATGTATTGGTAAGACTTCTTTACTCTTAAAAACGTAACTTAGGTTTTCTTCCTGTACCTCAGTGGATCATCTTGTTCACTTTGGATATCACTGGCTTAAACAATTAGGAGCCAAGCACGATGGTTTACATTTGTAATTCCAGCACTTTGGGAGGCCAAGGTGGGCTGATCACAAGGTCAAGAGATCGAGACCATCTTGGCCAACATGGTGAAACCACATCTCTACTAAAAATGCAAATATTAGCTGGGCATGGCAGTGTGTGCCTATAGTCCCAGCTACTTGAGAAGCTGAGACAGGAGAATGGCTTGAACCCGGGAGGCGGAGGCTGCAATGAGCTGAGATCTTGCCACAGTGCTCCAGCCTGGTGACAGAGTGAGACTCCAACTCAAAAACAAACAGTTTGGGTACTTATCACCTCACAGAAGTCCCAAAGTTGGGCAGTTCCAGGGCTGATAAATACAATAGCTAATTGATGTCAGGACCTGGGTTTCTTCCTACTTTCTGCCCTGCCAGCCTCAGTATGTTCACTTTTTCCTCAGTGTCGCTTCCCTCAAGGTCTTTACTTGACTGCTGCAGTTGTCAGAATGACAACAACCACTTGAAGGAGAGGGCCTCTTCCCCAGCATGTTTTTTTTAAGAGCAGTGACACTTCCTGAAGCACACCAGCCTTTTTCCCTTCAGTTTTCATTGAGGAGGAGAGTTGGGATAACTAGGAAAGAGAGTGGGACTGCCAGGGTAGACTTAGACTAAACAGATCGCCCCTCCTGGGCGCACATTGGCGTAAGGAGGTGCAGCTGTCTGAATAAAGCCTGGTCTCAGGACGGTGAAATGGAAGGATGGCTGCTGATGACTCGTAGTTGCCTGAGGCTGCTACAGGGGTCTATGACAGCTGTTCATCGGAAGCCTCTGGGAGATGGGAAAACCAAACTTTGACTCACATCAACTTTGTTTTTACACACCAGTCTTTCCATCTGCTCTTCAGGATGAACCAGTGTGCTTTGATTTGATGGTCATGTTAGACCATTTCTTCTAGAATCTATAAACAGCACAGAATATGGTCACCCTCCTGACTAGAATAGCCAGGGAGCTATGATTAAAGAAGACAAAGAGCTTGTACTAACATAGGCTAAAGAAAAAGTCCCTGGCTGCAAAGGAAAATTTTGTCTTGGGTATGTCCAGTTCCACCCATAACAAAGCTAAGCAGGTTGGTGGTATGTAATAAGGTGTTGGGAAGCAAAAATAGGGCCATGCCAGTTGAGACAGTGTTTGGTGAACAATCTTGTTCCTAAAAGAAGACAGGTCAGAGCGCACTGGAGAAAGGAAATAGATGTCATCTGAGCACAGGTGACAGTGACAACTGCTCTTCATGGGATACCTGCCTGCGTGGCAGGTGCTTCATGTACCTCTTAGGAACAATCCAGTGAGGCAGTGATAGCACCACTCTACAGATACGTGGTGAGCGGTTCTGACGCAACCCCAGTGACTGCCACCCCCTCATTCAAACCCTTATGTAGTCCCCTCACCTTGAGTATGGGTGGACCCAGCAACTTGCTTCTAAAAAAAAAAGGATGTGGCCAAAGTGATGGGCTGTCACTTCTATGAGTAGGTTACAGAAGACTCACATCATTTTGTTGGTGTTCTCTCCTGGGCTCTCACTTGATATGACAGAGAGGGCCACCTGGCAAGGAACTGAGGGTGGCATTCAGCCAACAGCTACCAAGGAACTGAGGCCTTCAATCTAACAGCCCAAGAGTATCTAAATCCTGCTGGCTCTGGGTGTCTCGAGTGTGGCTGAATCAGGCTGAAGCATGGGCCAGTTTGTTTTGTAGATGAGACTGGAGGTCAGAGTGGCTCAGTGACAGTAATTCTGTCTGATCCAGATTCCAGGATGAGCTTCTATAATTCAGTCACCTCCCACCAGTTCCCTCCCACAACACAGGGGAATTCAAGATTAGATTTGGGTGGGGACACAGCCAGACCATGTCAAGTGACTAATCATCATTTGCTGTTCAGAGAGAAGGAGGTTCAGGCAAAGGTCAAATAGACTCAGGGCAGCTGAACACTACTGCAAGGAGAGATCATCCTGGAATCTGGATCAGACAGCATTTTGACTCCACCATTATTAAGTCACTGAGGTACACTGACCGTCGGTCTTCTCATCTATAAAACAAACTGGCCCATGGTAGTGAACACTGTTGCTTGAGCCTGTGTGGCCACGTTCTTTTCATTACAGCCTGATTGAACTTGGAATGGATGTTGGTCCCATTGAATGTTGAGATGATTATGACCCTGGCTGACACCTTGATTGCAGCCTTGCAACAAACCTTGAAACAGAACATAGCTAAGCTGTGCCCAGATTCCTGACCCAGGGAAACTCTGAAATAACTGTGTGGTGTTTTAAGCTACTAAATTTTGGGAGTTGTTACACAGCAATACAACTATTGCAAGATGAGGTTTCCCAGATGTCAGATTTTAATAACCTGCCCCAAATCACACAATGGAAGATTCAAACCCCCATCTACAAGGTGATTTGTTTTACTGCCCAGTCCTCCCTCTTGGCAGCCTCCAGCGCAGGTGAACACTGGGCTGCGGGCCACTGTTAGACGCAGTGCTGTTATTAAGACCCCGCTAATCACACCTCCCCCAGCAGTGGTGGTGAAGCCATCCATGACCATACTCACCCCAGAGGGGAGAGAGCCTTTTCAGCTGGGCTCCATGAATAGAGCTCTGTAGAAAAGGGTGTTTAAATAATTTTTGTCACTTTTCCCAAAGTGACAAAAGTTCATACACACACACACGCACTTATAGATGCACATGAGCAAAGTTACATATATAATGCATGCCTTAGGGTATCAGGGCTGTCCAGCTGGGCAGGCCGCCTCAGGCAGGGCCCAGGAGAGCCCTCATGGGCAGGAGACACAAAGGACCTGGAGAGTCAGAGGTGAAGGGAACGAGCAAGGGGCAGAACTGGGATACTGATCAGGACTTTGGAGAGGCAGCACGGTGCAATTGAAAGAGTGGACACCTCAGACCTGAATCTTTGGGGCCTGCTGGCTCCAGGCCCCGTTGAGTCGTGCCTCCCTGGGCAGGTGACTCAGCTCTCCGAGCTTCAATTTACTCTGCTGTAAAACTATAGTACTCGTGCTTTCAGTTTTTCCCTAGCTTGATGTTTCTAAGCCTTCAGATTGCGGAATAACAGCAACTACCACACTGTTACTGCTCCCACTGACTAGTTCCTGAGTGCTTACTGTGCGCCTGGCACTGTACAAAGCACTCTATGCCTATGGTCTCAACTCACGACAGCCTCATTTTCCATTGAGAAAGCTGGAACTCGCAAACATGAACAATCACTGGTCCTGAACAATTGCTCACTGTCAGTGGTTGGTGTAAGGGCTTCAAGTTGTCACTACAACACACAGCCTGGCACAGAGCAGGTGCCAGTGAGTGCCGAATTCCTCCTTATGGCAGCAGATCAGTGTGCTGCAACATGGTCCAACTGCCTGGATGGCAGAAGAGTCCAAGAGGCATAACTTGGACGCTTTGTGCCCAAACAGTGTCATCCTCAGGAGAGCCTGTGGACTGTCTGAGGGTCTCTTCTGAGGGTGTGTGTGGGCTGTTAGCAGCATTCTCTGTTGGGCACGGCTCCCTAAACTCTGGGTGGCCTCTGCAGACAGAGCCCAGTCTATTGCCCCAGCATGTGGGAAGTACAAGGCCAGAATTTTGGAACACATTGTGGGGAGAGGTACTCAACAGGGCTGTGAAGAGCAAGATCTCAGCAGGACCATTGACTCCTTAAGGTCAAATAACGATCCAGAAAACACAGTTGAGTTGTGTATTAGTCCATTTTCATACTGCTGCCCGAGACTGGGGAATTTACAAAAGAAAGAGGTTTAATTGGACTTAAAGTTCCACGTGGCTGGGGAAGCCTCACAATCATGGTAGAAGGTAAGGAGGAAGAAGTCAACATCTTAAATGGATGGCAACAGGCGAAGATAAAGTTTGTGCAGGGAAACCCATTTTTAAAACCATCAGATCTCTCATTATCGCAAGAACATTTCAGGAAAGACCTGCCCTTTCTTGGGGGAACTGCTTCTCTACGTTCAACATAGTCCTGTGGGTATGTGGTGGGGGGAGGGTGTTGGAGACTGCTGGTGAAGGAGTCCTGCCTTCCTCAGCCAGCAGATGGGAATGTAACCTGAGCCAATCAGGCCCCTGTCCTGGAGCTGGATTATGTATGGGACAGTTTAAAATCTGCAAAAGGCAGGAACCAGCCCTTCCCAAGAGCAGAGACACCTGGAGCCAGTGCTGGGGCTGTCTGATCCTTGGCCCCCAAAAGGCTGCAGCACCTCAGTGGCTTTCCTTTTCACTGTAAGGGGTGAGGGTTAGTGTTTGCTACTTGCTGCCCACGTGCCCTAAGACCCCCAGAGGATCATCTGGGTGTTCTTGCTTTCCATGTGTCCCTTCCCCGTAAGTGAGGTCTTTGTTACCTGCTTTGAGCATTTCTAAAACAAAGTGGTAAAACAAATGAATACATTTAAGAGATGGTGGCTTGCTCCTTTCTTCCCTCTGCATTTTCTCTCTGCAAAAAAAGCGGGAGACTAGGCTGATCCCCAATCTAGAGTTCCTGGGGTGGAGTGCCCAGGGACACAGTCCCTGTGATGGTTAATATTGAATGTCAACTTGATTGGATCGAAGGAGGCAAAGTATTGCTCCTGGATGTGTCTGTGGGGGTGTTGCCAAAGGAGATTCACATTTGAGTCAGTGGACTGGGAGGGGCAGATCCACTCTCAGTCTGGGTGGGAACCATCTAATCAGCTATCAGTGAGGCTAGAATAAAAGTAGACAGAAGAACATGGAAGGACTAGACTTGGCTGAGTCTTCCAGCCTTCATCTTTCTCCCGTGCTGGAAGCTTCCTGCTCTGGAACATCGGGCTCCAAGTTCTTCAGCTTTTGGACTCTTGGATTTACACCAGTGGTTTGCCAGGAGCTCTCAAGCCTTCAGCCACAGACTGAAGGCTGCATTGTTGGCTTCCCTACTTGTGAGGTTTTGGGACTTGGACTGGCTTCCTGGCTCCTAAGCTTGCAGGCGGCCTGTTGTGGGATTTCACCTTATGATGGTGTCAGGCAATACTCCTTAATAAACTCCCCTACATACATACATCTCTTCTATTAGTCCTGCCCCCCTAGAGAACCCTAACTAATGCAGAGCTTTTGATCACTGGTGGCCCACCAGCACGGAAACCCAGGTGTCCTCTTACACTGACTGGCATTGCAGGGGTCCTTGCCCAGCTCCAAAGCGAGCTGCATGACCAGGCCCGGGTGAATGAATGCCTCTTGCTGGCACATCTCTCAAAGCCCTGGTCCAAACCTTTTAATGGACTGCAAAGCACCGCTGGCAACATCTCTCCCCTGGACGACCATTTGTAAATTGCTTTCGTCCTGATGCCTGATGGGGTGAAAAATGCATTTTCCATCTCCAGGCTACAGCAGGTGGATTTCTGCCACCACCACAGTAGGAGCTGACAGGGCCATCCTGGCAGCCTTGGCCCTGGCCCTCAGCCTGTGAGAGGACTGGTGTCCTTCTGGGAGGGGGTGGGCAGGTAATGGGCTCTGTTTGGGGACCCTTGCCCACACACAGCAGGTTCTAATGGCTAGAGTGATCAGCGGCGTGGGTGGCCCTTGGTTTACTGGTCACAGTATCTGCTGGAAGGAACCCTCCCCTCCCACTGTGGCCTCACTGGGTCCTGAGCAGGACACGGAATCCCAGGCCTGTTTTTGTTCTCTAAATGGGCCCCCGCTGCTTTGTGCCTGGCATCTTATTTCTCACGTCCTTGGGGGCGGTGCTGCTTCTCCCTCCACTCTCCCTGCCAGGTTTGTTGCTGTGTCCCACCGGGGCTGTCTGGCTCCAGGGGGGCATCAGGTACACTGGTGGTACTGGCTAGGCCAGTCTCCCTATTGTCCTCAGGGCCATTCCCTCTGACGCTGCTGCTCTGCCAGCCTGGGCCTAGCCTGCAGCTGTTGGGGCAGCACCATGTGGTTTGCCTTCTTAGAGGAAGGCGACAGAGGTGGCAGCCTTCCGAGTGAGACAAGGAGGAGTGAGAGCTGGAAGCTATCACATCATCTTCCTAGGGTTCAGTGTGGGTGCCAGTTAGGAGCACTGGCCTCTAAAACTCTGCCTCTGCCTGCAGAAGTCTCCATCCCCCACCCATAAGCTGGGGATGCCCTCTACTAGAAATGGGTTAGCACTAACATTATGGAAAATGATAGTCGCTACGATTATTTAGATGACTTTTCTCCTTAAAGGAAAGCAGTTATCACTTAGTAGGTATTGAAAAAAACAGCAGCAATTATCATACTGTCTAGCCAAAGCCTGTTCAAGTTCCCTTTTAACTTTCTCTTCTTTGGGACAAAATTAGATTTGTGGGGTTTTTTTAAACTCAATAAACAGTCACTGAGCAGCCTCCACATATTAGATTAGATGATCTCCATGGTAATCCGGAGTGCCTGCATCTGATTAAATCTGCACCCAGGCCTCCGTCCAAGGCTGCGGTTCCTGAAAGGAAGTCCTTGTGTAAAAACAGTAGCTTTCAATTACCCAGCATTTCTGTCGTCGGGCTTGCTCCAAGCACTTTATATACAAATTGGCATTTAATGACCAAAACAGTCCCATGGCAGGACTACTAACATTTGCAATCCTGTTTTACAGATGGGAAAAGTGGGGTTCAGAGAAATCCAATAATTTATCTGAAGTCCCTCAGGTACCAGGGGACAGAGCTGGGTCCAACTAGGGTTTGACCCCAAGCTGTGCCTTTTTCTCCCAGGCCACACTGCAGACCCCAGGGAGTGGCACAGTCAGAATGAAATTCTCAGCCACCTCTGCATTCTAGCCTGTTAACAGGAAGCAAACATTTACCCGCAAATGCTGCTCAGACTGCCCCATTTGGCAGCTTCCTCTGATGAGCTGAAATGCTGTTGCTCTGCAGCAACCCTAGGAGTCCCATTCTGATCTAATGGGCTCTGATGGGCAGTTAAAGATGTGGCAGATAAAGCCGAGAATAGTCAGCACCTAACCACGATGGGGACAGCCAGCCTCTTCCTAAGCAAAGAGTCCGGTGGGAACTGGGAACTACATGATGGAAGGGCCCTGTCCCTAACCTGGGAGGGGTTGGGATGCTTAGGTCAGGGAACAGAGTTGGAACTAGAGTTCCACCCTCCTCTTCCTCATCTGCTCAGAAACAGACTGATGATAGAGAACATAAATTTAGCCCCAAGGAGTCAAGAGAGACCTGGGAGGCAAACACTGAACAGCCTGTACCATCCCCTGCATCACCCCACAGCTACCCCAAGAAGTAGGCACCCTGATTATTCTGTTTTCAGACAAGAAGCTGAGGCTCAGAGAGGTACCCGGGGTTACATAGCCAGTAGGCGGCAGAACCAAGATGGGCAGACCCCAGTCACAGCCCCACCTGAAACCAGACTCCAGCCCAGGAGGCTTGTTTCCTCCTGAAGACCCCACTGGGCTGAGACCCCACCACGTGGTGTCCATCCATTGTGCTGGCTAAGAGAGATGCCTGCCAGAAGCCCAGGTTCCTTGACGGGCAGCTGAGCTCCGTCTTGCTGCAGAGGTCCAGAGCCTCGTGTCAGCTGCTTCCCACAAATCCAGGTCTGGCCTCAACAGCAACAGCAGCATTTCCTAGAGCTGTGTCCCTGGGTCCTGACGTTCCCTGGCTGGGGGCCCTTGGCCAAAAGACTGCCTTTCTGTTTTCTCATTGGCAAGAAGAGGGCATCCCTGAACATGAGCGTGCTTAACTGTCACTAAGGGAGCTAGTCAGTAAAGCAGCTTTTGCCCTCCCCACCCCTACCCACCTGAGATTCTCAGTCTGCAGGTCTGGAGCAGGGCCCAGAAACCTGCGTTTCAGCCTCACACTCCAGGTGACTTGGCTGTGCATTGCGGGCCCACGACACGTGGGGACAGGTGGGCTACATTAGGTCTCAGGTTCTAATTTCTATATTGTGTGAAAGTTGTCAATCAAAATGGAATCTCTTGTGTTAAAAACAGAAACACTGACAAGTAGAGCCAGGGAAATTCATGAAGAGAGGGTTCCCACACTTGGATGTCTTGGATACAAAAGGTATCACAAAAGCCTGCAGACCCACAACCTTGCACAAAGGCCATTGCAACCTCACAGCACAAATAGCTTCTGCAAGGACATCTGCCCAGCAACTGCCTGTCCAGCCTCAGACTGGTGGTGTCCTTGATGATCTTAGTAGCCAAAGATAATTATTTCAAAAACAACTATATAATCCTTCTCATTTTATCTTTAAAAAGCCTTTGTCTTCCTTTGCCTTTCTGAATACACACACTGTTGACTATGGCATGTGTGTTCCCATTGCCGTGTTCTATTCCCAAATAACCATTTTCTTTTGGAGGGCCTCTCTCTTTTATTTAGGTTGATAGTTGTTTAATTGAGGATAATTCTAAAGTCATCTTTCAACTTTTCTCATCTTAGGGCTAAAATTAAAATTCAAATTTAGTAGGCCCTTCTATTTAATTCTGCCACTATTCCCTGAGCTCCCATGATGGCATGGGACCTGGGGTGGGAGCTGCTGGGACACAGTGGTTCCCGTCCTCCTGGAGGTTCACATAGAGTCCTCGGGGCAGCTTGGAGGAATGGAGCCCTCGATATAGGTCCAGAGGTCAGGGACACAGATCTCTTCGGTTTTTTTTGGAATTCATGCTGCCTTTCCCTGTGAGTGCTCTCAGTCTCCAACACAGGGATCCTGTCCAGGGCTCCCTCCTCTCTCTGCCACAGCTCAGACAGAGAGGTCACATCTCAGTGGCCGATTAGTCCTGGGGAACCTGCCATCTGCTGGCCCCATCAGGGTGGAGAGATTAGCTAGCTAGCTGGCCATGTGATAGGCGGCTTTGGAATGGAGGCCCTAGAACCCTCTGCAATCAGATCTCAGATTAATGGACATAAACGAGATTCTTGATTTCCTCAAATAAGCGGATTTTGAATGGTTTACTCTGGTAACCAGGCCTGGCCCCATTCATCATCAGGGGAAGGAGCTTCAGCTTGGTGGGATCAGGGGCTTGCCCTGATATTTTACAGTCTGTGAGAACAGGGTGTGGCATGAGGAGGGGTGTCATTTACAGGGCTCCGCTGGCCCCTTGTATGAGGCCAGACCCTGAGCAAGAAGTAAGGCAGAGCTGGGGTATGAGTGGGCAACCAGGGCCCTAAGTTCCAGGGCAGTGGACTGAACAGGAGGGCAGGGCTCATCACCAGGGACCTTGAATGCCAGCAGCAGTGACTCTCAGTCATTTGAGGACAACATGAGGATTGCCTACGGACCACTGCCCAGGAAGTGACCTGCTAAGCGGGTGAGGGCCTGGAGTGGAGGAGGGCCCTGGCTGGGAGTCAGGAGACTTTGGACAGGGCTCGGGGCCTTTCTGGGTGAGTGCCCCATGTGCTACCTTCCACACAACCTGCTCTTGAGCAAGAGTGCTGTTGGGCTTGACAGCCTTTCTCTCATTCTT